CCAGGAGCAGCCACTGCACTCCAGTCTGGGCGACAGAGTGAGACTCCAACTGAAAAAAAACTAGAAACAACCCAGTGTTGGTCATGGTCTTGGAATATCCTCCTTTCAAAAGGTTTGTCTTTGTTATTGCCAAAACTATATATGTGTGTGTGTGTGTGTGTGTGTGTGTGTCACACCGTGGGTTATGTGTCATTAACAAAAAGCTGAGACAGGTTGGCATTTCTTCCTGGCACATTCTTTAAAGGTGCATCTAGAAATATTTGGCACACCTTTTACTTCCTAGCTTTATTCTGATCAAGCCCAACATAGTTGTAAAAACCCCTGAGGAATTGTGTGGAAATTCCTGATTGGCCATATCCTTGCCTCTGTGTCTTCCTGCAGATCTGACTTGCATTCGCTGTCACCAGCACTGCTCACTGAGGATTTCTGGATCCAGACTGAGGGCTCGTGTCCAGCGGACTCTTGAGCAAGTGAGTAGCCCCAACACTGCCTGTCTGTGGAACCTGGGGATGTTCTCATCTGACTGAAACACTTTAGGCTTCCCTGCACCCTGGGTGTGGATAAGTACACTTCCCTTTGGGCACAGACTATGGAGCATTGTGATTTTATGCTGCAGGATTGAACTGATGTGTCTAAAATCTCAGGAAACCAAACGTAGATCTTCAGATATTTAACTAATGTCAGTGGGGATTCATCTTGGGGCTTAGAACTGAATGGCAGAGGAAGGTGAGATTATCATTTAGTCACACCAAGGTCAGGTCAGGTAAAATGCTCATTTAACTTACAGGAATAAACTTTTCAGACCATGGCCTTCAAATTGCCTGGATTATTTCCATGGAAGTGCCACAAAACAAGTTACCCAAAGCTAATTAGGTTTCCAAAGTGTTCACATTGTCACAAATATGATAGAAGATAGCTGTTGTATAATAATGAAGGGCTAAGGTGACCTGGCTTTTCTGCACCTGATCCCATTCAGTATCTTTTTAGCCCATAAAGTCAGTTGATTAATACGTCGCCTCATGTGAGATCACTTTTATACCTTTGGAAGACCTCTATGTCTAGAGTTACATTTAGGAAAATATAGCCATGCTAGCTACAGAAGTAGGCAAGAAGTGTATGAAAAAACAAGGCTAGGCAGGAATCCGAATTTCTGACTTCCTAGTCACCAAAGATCAGCCACTACTCCCTTCAGTGAAAGTAGGGCTCTGGCCAAGTAGGGTGGCTTGTGCCTGTAGTCTCAGCACTTTAGGAGGCCAAGGCAGGAGGATTGCTTGAGGCCAGGAGTTTGACACCAGCTTGGGCAACATAGTGAGACTCTGTCTCTACAAAAATACATACCTAAATGAAAGATGAGCTGGTTGTGGTAGCACATACCTGTAATCCCAGCTATTCGGGGATTACAGTAGAGGGGGCAGTTGCTTGAATCTTGGAGTTTGAGATTACTGTAAGCTATGATTGCATCACTGCACTCCAACCTGGGCAACAGAGAAAGACCCTGCCTCAAATATGGAGCAGGACCCTGCAAAACTTATTCAGGAGCCAGTTGGACATGTTTCTGTCTTTAACTTTTCTAAAAATAGGATAATAGGATGACTATTTCCACCTGTAGCTTTTTTTTTTTTAGTTGGAGTCTCACTCTGTCGCCCTGACTGGAGTGCAGTGGCCGCTCCCGGCCACCGCAGCCTCAACC